GAATGCGTTACATCACATGACGAGCTGTAGGCAGGAAGAGAAGACTGATTCAAAAACAAATCCAACAGGTTTGACATTATGAAAGGTATTCTGTGCCCTCCTACAGCTATTAGTTTGATGCAAGGGATCTCACTGCTAATGCAAACACGGCAGAATCATTGTCACATGAGACTGAGATCACACAGGGATCTAAATCACACTGACCGAACAAACCCTACCTCCTGCAAAGACACAGAAGTCTTGCGGTGATACTAAACTGCTATGTGACTGTTTGTGCCTTTTAGTTTTGCAGTGCACGTGTGGGGTCATTTCGTTTGACTGCCCCCCCTCCCCCTTCCCTAAGTCAACAGGTTGTTTTTGCATTGTAATCATTAACATCAACGTGGGTTCTCCACATGGCCACAAGCTGCAGGAGACTGTACATTGCTTATGCCAAACACACAATCATTTGTGCTTGGAACAGTCAGCAGCGATACATGAGAAAATATACATTCTCTTAATAATCATTAGGGACAGTTTAGACCAAGCTCTTGAGTAAAATCTGTCAAAAGAAATGATAAATTTAACTTTTTGTCAGCATTGGTGTGAAATTAGAGTTGAGAGGGAACTATGTGCAAGTTAATGAGTTACTTTGAGATGAAGAAAACTGGTAATCAAACTGTTCTTATGTGACACACCTCTGTAGGAAAAAATCCTGTACCAGTAACCTCTGTGTGTCCCAGATCTCACTGGTGACAGTGATGTACAGACGTCACTGAACACCTCAAGTGCTGTCACGTACCCACTGCTGGATTGGCTGACTGCTTGGAAGTGGTGGTTATATGTAAATACTGTACATGCGTATATGTGCATGTACATATACACAGGGTTGTGAGAAGGGGCACGTAGACGCCACAGAGTGTTGGCTGGTAGCACCTTAGTCTTACACTGAAAGGACATCCTGGTGCAATGACAAATCCTTCTCTGTCCTCCTTCCTGCCCTGTCTCTCTCTCTCTTGCCCTCTAAAATGAAGGCCCTCTTGTGATTCAGTAATTGCTGTGCTCAAGGCTGACAGTGCTGTTTTTTTTTGTTTTTTTGTATCATGACCAGTTGTTGATATATGGTGTTTTTTTTTTTTTTTTACTCTGAACATTGTTGGCTGCATGTTGTAGCTTTCAGAAGCAGCACGTTTGAGAAAAAAATGTTGACGTCAGCTGCTGCTGCTGCCCGCACTATGACCACTCTTCTCTCGCGTTTCCACGTGAGCATGGTTGTAGGGGGTCGGTGGGTGTGTCTCCTCCACATGCATCCTGCTTCCGTCGTTCTACTCTTCCTGTGAGCTTCAGGTCTCTCGTCCCCATCACAGGCTCAGATGGCCTTCGATAATGGATTAAATAGACAAATGCCAGGAAGGCACTTAGCTATTGATCACCGCCATGAATGCTGCTTCTGTTTCCCCCTGCAGCCCTCCAGGAGAGCAGTACTTAAAGTCAGTTGATTGGCCATCCCCTGGTCCCCTCTTACTGCAATCCTTTCATCCTTCTGTTGCTTTCCACTGTTCTCTGACTTTGTTGATGTGCCACTCTCCTCACTAAAAGCAAACACTGTGCCATTTAGGAGGGAAAACAAATATTGCACCAACAACATTAGCTGGTGGGAATTTTATTAGGTTTAAAGCAATTGTTCCCAACTGAAATAGCTTTTAGGTCCGGCTTACAGTAACTGTTTGTGCTATCTGTTTTCACACACATACTTTGCACTCTAAAGGTGGAAAGAACAACTTTTTTTTGATAAGTGTTGTGTGGACTGTATGTCAAGGCCCTTAGACTGTCACAAGTATGATAAGAATAACAGAGTTTTAAAATTGTGACATCTGCAGAACAGCCTTGGAATGAATAGCATATGCTAGCAAACAAACGATAGGTCAGAATGTTGTTGCTCTTACACCCCTGGAGGTACACTCCGTTGTAAGGGCTCTGCTTAGCCTCACTAAGACAGTTGAGGGCAAAGGGACTGGATAGGGAGGAAATTGGGAAGGAAACAGCGAGGGGGAGGGAGTTGTGTAGAGTAAGCAGGGCCTGAGCTTTGTCTCACTGTTGTGACGTCAGCCATGCTGCTAGAATTCCATAAAAGTCTTCGATGGAGCAGGAAATGACTTCCAAGGTTTGGCATGTTGTTCTCTGGTCGCTGCTGTCATTGCTGGATTCTCTGCTGCCTGCTTCAGCCCCCCCCTTTCTTTTCCTTCTTACCCTCTCTCATCTGAATATGTATTTTTGTCTCACATTTTTTAAGTATTGGCAGCCATGTCTTAATATTTGACACCATCCACTCCATCTAGTAATCAACAGGAAATATTAAACTACACATTGTTAATTTTTTTTCATGGTTTCCAACCCAGGTTGTGTACACTAACTGTTCAGTGTTCCCTAAATAGAACTTGCACAGACTAATTGCTGTGACTCTGATAATTCATGTGGTTTGTTTCCAGTGAGGGGCCTGCAGTTTTTGGCTGCTGTACCAGCCAGCCGCAGAGAACTTTCCTTGCATGTCAGAGAAAATGTGTTTTGTATTTGCAATGGCCTACATATTATTCATTTTGCAAGTGATTTTGTGAATTTCATCATCCCACATTCATTTTAGGAAATGCATTTGTATTTAACCCAAAGTTTTAAAAAATTCTACAACCATTTTTAACTCTTGCAACACTGTGATAATGATTTAGCGTTTCCTCTGAGCAAATTTGGCTTTAAAAGTAGTGCTCCACTTTGACAACTATTTAAATGCTGTGCCCTTTTTGTCAAAATGCCATCTGCTGGAGGTTGAGGTGACCAGAGAAACAAGGATTTAGTTTCACAATGGAGTGCAGCGTTCATTAAGAAACGGACACAATTAAACACAGGATGCTGAACTTCCTCAGATTTTTTTCAATACACCTTCTCCCTTCTGCCTTCCTTGCACTCCCGCCTTCCTGTCCTCTGTGCTTATGGCAATTTTTGAAGCAAATGATTCTTTTGGGCTAAGGGGAAAGATGGGCCTTCAGTTCCTGCAGAGAGCAAGATGGAGAGCTGAGATATCATAACTTTATTTGTGAGAGCCATGACCGGATCTCGTACATCAGGAAGATGGTATATCTTATTGACAGGCAGCTGTGACCACTGTTCCTCCCTACTCATATCATTTTAGTTTGAGACGCACGTCAGATATATCACCATGTGTAATGAGCCTGATCAGGACTGTGGAGCCTTCCTAGCGGTCAGGCATTACAAAGTGAGAAATTGCATGGTAGCCCTGTTCCCTAATCTCTGACAGGAAGTAGTTAGCCTAAGTAGTGGTCCTGCCCAGGCCAGAGCTTTCCTGTTTCAGTAGCAAGATGCTGCAGTGATTGTGCTATTCTATACTCAGACTTGCACATGTGATCATATATAGACCCTTGGCCTATGTATTTATATAAATATTTGCTCTGTGTTCCCCATATATGGACAGCTCATTTTGGAATTCAACCTAAGTTGTGTACTCAACTTGGTGTTACTTCCTTTAAATATTCTGAGTGGAAACACAACTAAA